AAGTTAGATCTTTGATCGTGAACGTCGGACAGGGATTAAAAAGTTCGAAACGACATAACGCGATTGGAGGGAAAAAGAGGAGGACGATCAATCACTGATTCAATTTCGGATAATTCCGCAAACAAGGGAAAAAAGGAACGGGGGGGGGGAGGAAAATTAATTTCCTTAACGAGGTTTCGAGTCGCGTGATTAAACGCGACGTCGGCCGCGATAATCCAACAAGAATAAATTACATACGCGAGGGTTCCTCGAGCGAGTAGAGCAGGGAGTAGGCAAAAAGCGTGGAAAAAAGGAGGAGATGGAGGAAACGGCCGATAAAAATGGCCAAGTTCTTCGCGTCTAAGGAATCCCGCTTGGCAAGGTCGGGAAACGGCCTAGCCGCCGGCTATGGCACTCTTTTGCCTTCGTATTGGTACGCGAACGTGCATCTATTTCCGCGTGTGCTCGAGAAAGACGGCCATCTTCCTCTCTCTCTCTCTCTTCGTTCGATCGCAACGATTGATAAGGGAACACCGATTATAAAATTCGCTACGTGGCGATTTTCGAAAGGGACAAATCGTCACGAAACGAGGTATATTTAAAAAAGAAAGTGGATCGATTTGCTTTGCTTTGTATGATGAAAATTGTATATATGTTTGTACAACATTTTCGTATATTAGTTAATGATCACTGTGGCGCTAGTGTCGCGATCGTCCGCCATAGTAAAAATTGGATAAAAATTCTGGCCAAACATTTATCATTTAAAATTAATTATCCACGTCTCTGTCTAAGATAATTGCTTTGAGAAATTGTTATTATTATTCGATGATAAAAAGAGAACGTTAAAATTCACTGTACTGGTCGATAGATAGGTTTTTTTTCTTCTTTTTTTTTTTTTAATTTCACAAAGTAAACGTACGAAAGAAAATAAGGTTTTAACTCGGTGGGTACACAATGATCCATGCCAGCGTCGAGATTAATGTCGCCGCATTTCCAGATCAGCTTCGTTATCCGGTTACAACGTGCATTCCAGTAATCTTACATAATGCCGGGGAAGTAGCAGAGTCGCATTCTGCGACCGGCTGGCAACGATTGGACGTTGGAAATATCGAAACGGGTGTGTATAACGCGAGGTCTCGTGGCGAAATTCTCGAGAACGAACCGAATTCTAACAAAGCTTCCCTTTCCGAACCAGAATTTTCGGACAAATTTCATTTCAGATCGAAGCAAGAAATATATATATATATATATATATTTGTTTGATATAATTTATTTCAAAATACTGTTCCACAATATTAATCTATTTAACAAGTTTTGAAGTTTTAATTGGAATTTCGCGTAAATTTTTTGAGAAATAAATTCTTACTTCAAATTTGATAAAAGAAACGATCACAAAGATATTTATTATATTTTAGTTTGTGCGAGCAATAAGAAACAATATAAAAAGTTTGTTTCTGATAGAGTTATTTTATGAAATGATAATAAAACACGATATATTTTAAAATACATTGAAATACATCTCTCCTCTACTCATTAAAATTTTAAATCGAGCTCGATACTTATTTACGTGTTTTATGTGGAAAAAATACTGAAAGGAAAAGATGAGAATAGAAAAAGATGGAATTATTTCTATAACAACGATTAACAAATTTTTGCCATTACATTAATATTCGAATTACATCCGATATATTAAATTGTTTCAAACGTTACATTTTAATCTATTCGACCGGCGGAAAATCGGACGTCGTACGTTAACCGAATATCCACGATGGCGAATTTTAATTACACCCTCGTCGTGGATCGTAGATTGAACTGTCGCTTTCGAGGCTGAGACAGGACCACCTGGCATTGTTCTACGAGAATTGCTGTCGTTACACTTGAATAGACACGTCAATCCGCAATGGGGGTTGCAACGATAGCGTCTTTGTTAATTATTCGATCAAACAATCGGCCGTGCCGCTATTAATCCTCGAACCGTGTGTTCTTTCTTTCTTTCTTTCTTTTTTTCGGACGAACGTGGAAGAAACTGTGGTATTGAAATATTGTTTCAACACTTCTATGCACGTGCTTTTTATATATATATATAAATATACGTTATTGAATAATTCATTATTTGAAGGAAAAAATTGAAGAAAGAAAATCTATCCATTTGATCTATTTTTTTTCTACTTTCATAATTTTAATGTACAAGTGTTGCTTTAAGTAATAACTGTTATTTTATTTGAGAAGAATTCGGTTTGTGTATCGCTTGGAATTATTTTGATGATTATTTATATTCTCTTTAATAATAATAATAATAAAAAAATAATTTATTTCTCAAATTAATCACTTGCTTAATCCATTCCGAATAAAAATTCATCCCAATTCAATTCATTTTTGCTTTTATCTCGAATAATCTCCTCGAGCACCCTCGAATGGAAATTAAGTGGATAATTCGGAAAACAGCCCTCCAATCCTAGTTGATATACAAACACACTCCCGCTATCGGTATATACTCGCTCCAATTGGGATTCACAATGGAACGTTGTACAAACAGAAACGATAGAAGCTCGATCATCGAAACCGATAGAGAGATAACTGTGTTAACAACTTCATTTTCCCTACATTTTCGAATATCGCGGATAAAGAACGGTATTATCGTGTTCTTTCCATCATTAAACTTTTTCAATAAGATCTTCTTCTCCACAACTATTTATATACTTTATGTATATATATATTGATTTTGTTAATGCTCCACCCATATTCTTCTTCTCCTTTTTTTTTTTTCGAACGAAATTTTCGAATTTAAATTTCAAATTTTCCACACCACGCTAAAAAAACAATAATGTACGTGAAAACGGTACACGATGTACGGATAATAAGATATTCTAACAACAGAGAGTTCGTTCTAATAAAATCAGCATTCCGATAATCGAGATACCGCCGTAAGAGAAAGCACCGCTAGTTATTCGAATCGCGAGTCGCGTTTAAAGCCTCGTTTAAATATCAAATGAGTCGCGGTGGGATCGTAAGTAAGCTCGAAATTCGCAGCGAGAGACGTTCGTGGAAACCCGATAAAATCATTTGCGAAAGGGATAATTAGAAGTCGCCCGCGAAACTAAGGGAAATTAAGCTAAGACGGCACGATCCCAATTTTATCGATATCGATCCCCATTTCGAGAAATGGATTCGATCTACGAAATGCTCGTGCGAAACGTTTCGTAGCTTTCGTCAGGTTATACGGATTCAGGCTGAATTCCCTGAATGGCAGAGATGGAGCTTGTGGGTAAGATGGATCCGTGTGCATAACTTTCGAGATATCCGCTAGATGTCGAGAGCGTGTTGCTTCGGTTCTTTATCTGGTATTTGACTTCGTTGCGACGCGGTTAATGCGAATTTTTTGGGGGGGGGGGGGGAACAACACGATTGATACGAAGTTTGTAAAAAAATAAATAGCACGATTTAAAAAGAAAAACACGCATAAACTTGTGTAAACGCGTGCTGTGAAAATTCGTGTCTCGTACGATTAATTTTATCGTACTTTTGTACTTGTTATTACGAGCGTATTATTAAAAGTCGCGGAACGTCTCGAACGTAAGGAATAATAACACCGACATTGTTATTGATATTCGAAATGTATCGATTTAATCGTAGTCGTTTCACGGAGCGGGACGAGCGTGTTTCTCCCCGCTCTCTCGCAAGAAATATTCGTAATTTTCGATTAATTAATTAGTTTTATTTGAAATTATTATTAAATTAAATTAATTATCGCGATAACACGTTATTAGTGTAAGAACGGGACTGAGAAATAGCCTTTTCCTCTTCTACAGATCCGAAACGAGCGTGTGAGCGAAAATCTAGAGCCTCTGGCAAGGGTCTGAGGAAGCGTTCGAGCTCTAATTGCCTCGAAACTCGATGGGTCGAGAGGGGGGATACGAGAGATTTGTTCATAAATCTTCATTCTCGAGGTGTCGTTACTCTCGGTAAAATAAAACTGAATGCGTGCGCCCACGAATGATTAATGCGTCGGTTGTTACGCGTTCCGGAGAAAAATAGCGTTGCGTAATTAAAGATATAAATACAGAGTGATTTTTGTGTAGATCCATCTGATCGCAATACTATATGTAGCGTCGTATTATTACAAAAGTACAGGTAATTTTTGAGGTTAGATCACAATATGGCGGATTGCGGCCATATTGTAATTTTGTAATGTTTTTTCTGGATCTCTTCTAAAAATACAAAAAATATGCAAAATAATTTTTAATTCCACAACGCAAGATTGATATTTGCAATAGATTCGCGTTAAGTTTGAGCTAAGCTCAATAAATAGATTCAAGTTAGAGTCTCGTGTTCAGGTTGTTCAGAATAGATCTACATATAGATTATCCAAGTTAGATTAGATATCTCTAATCCTCGTTTAAATATTCATAAATAATGCAAGAAATAGAAGAGGTATCCTTTTGAAGATTAAAAATCCATTTATATCCTGTTATTGTTCCTCTTTCCTATTCCAGATAATAACGTTTTTATCAATTAATTTAAATCTACGGTTTAAGGCGGGTTTGAAACCGTTGCCAACAGTACACAATGTTCCCACCCGTGGCACTTGTCCAAGAAACATTAACCGTGATCGATGTAGAGTAAGTTTAGCGATCTTAGGAGGATCGATGGATCCCAGGTCGCCAAGACTATTGGCTTTATAATTCTTTTAAATCATTTCGCATCCTTCCGCTCTGTTTCCCTTTTGTCGCGAGATTTAGCTGCTGTCACGGGGGGGAAGATTAACGCGCCACGACGTTCATCACCGCCCGTAACATCGTAACTTTCCAGCTGGGACAATGACGAACGGGCGTGAATCAACTTTCTTAACTTTTTAATCGATCATCCCTGGATTCGTCTTGACGGCGAATACTTTTCATATTTTCAGGAAAACTTTATCCGGGGAAAATTTCACTTTTACAATTTTTCCTCGATCAAATTACTTGTTCGTGGTTCCCCATTGATTTCACGGCCGAACGTATTAAATTGGATATTTTCCTGGGAACTTTCCTCGGTCGGTAAATTAATCTACCTTACCCTCTGATTTATCTCGAAACGGAAGTGCCGATTCGAACCGATTTAAATTTAAATCCTTGGCGAGTATTTATGAAAATATTTCGATAGATTTAGAAACGAACAACGACGAAATTAACGATAAAATTAAAAAATTAGAATTATCGTTTCGATGAAATTGTTATAAAATTAGAAACGAGTGGAGTATTTCCATATTGCGATATTTGTTTTAGAGAACAACGATAAAGATTCATCGAAAATTTAATCTACGAAATCTACGAAATACACGGTGTGCAAAAAAGAGCGAAACGAATTTTTATTACAAAACAATTTATCAAGATATTAAAATGTAAAAAATCTTGACATTTACGTAAAAATTGATCATCGAATTTCACAATATGGAACAGTATCGTTTTTGAGAAGATTTTTTGCCGTGGAAAATGGAGTCGCGAAACGATATCAACGGTTTATCTGGAAAATGTAGCGCAGTGCGTAATTAAGAAAGAAGGGGGAGCTATGTTTATGATGTGATATGCAAACGACTATGGATGGTGCAGCCATCACCACTTAGATGAGATCTGGAAGCGTGTCAGGGTCGTTCTACGGCCTTCTCCTCCTCCTCCTCCTCCTCCTAGCCTCCTAGAAACTCGTCGCGGACAATTTTTATTCAGTCTTTTCTTTTTTTTTTTTGCTATGCAGACAAAGTACAACACATTTGATACCCCCGAATATCTAAAACGATTATTTCTGATGTAACGCAAATAGTGGATATTATGGATAATTTTCGATTTCAATTTGAAGAAGGAAATATTAATTTCTTAAAGTTTTTTTTTTTTTTTATTTTCAGAATGAATTATTATCTACACGTATTAATTCTACGCTTTCGCGGTCATTTCGAGAAAAGATGCAAGATGACAATATGAAATTTTAGATTTTTAACGGTTTAAGTTAAAATGAAAGTTATGAAAAAAAAAAAAAAAAGAAAAAGAAAAAAGAAAAAATAGAAAGTTTTCTCATCGTTAAATAAATTATATATACGTATAATAAAAAATACATGATTTGTGATTTATTTGCAATTTAATCGGGAATTGTTAATAACGTTGTTAATTCGTAATATCAACGATAAATGTAATTTGGAATATTCTGAAACCTATTACGGGAAGAATGCTGTCTCCTCTCCAATATAAATTACAATAGACAGAGGAGGAGAGCGTGGTATTTCACGTATGAATGTAATTACATTGTGAATATGCTTATAATTCCGGAAATTACACCTGTGACTACACCGCGAGTGTAAAATTTTTAAGACCTAATAATCCTCGTTCTCGCTCCTCCTCTACCTTGTGATTTTTATGCCAAATTATTCTTTTCTCGCATGGAAGAAAAAACTGGAATTATACATTTTAAAGATTATTTATATACCTTTCGTCTTTGATCGCGTAAATACACTATCATCTCTTTCTCCACGAAAGATGTGTATATAAAGCAGTAACAAATTAATCGGGTTATCAATCGATTCATTTCGAGCGTTTCCTACTTTCAAGTTTGTATTTCTATTTGTTACTCAACTTACAGAAGACTTATATTTTTTTGTTACAGGTAAGTAAGAGGAAGCAGGATGGAATTCTCCTCGATCATCAGGTATAACGAAACGTCGAAGAAGCGTCGAATTTTTTCGATTATCAAGGTACAAGTGTTCTTTTCTTATCTGTGGTGTAAAATTCTGTTCATCTGAGTGCTATGCTTGGTGAGAAACGATCGATACGTAATTGGTTGATTTTCTCTCTTTAAGAATAATACGAATAATATATTTCCGGCAGAAAAATTTCGTTTAAAATTTCATTTAGAAAGGAGGAATGGCAAGAAATCGGTATTTGCAAAATTCTGGAAAATTTATAACTAAGTTTTGTTCGAAATAAATCGATCGATCGTTGTGCTCGTTTTGAGAAAGAATGTAGGCCGAGTTTTAAACGAAGTTTCAAGGGTACTTGCTCGGGACTAAAAAGGGGATCCGAGAAGTTAGTATCCCGGGATTATAAAGCAAGCTCTTTGCTCTTTCTCCAAGCCTTGCTGGACGATATTTTCAATTTCACGGGCAACGGATATGCTTTGATCTTTTTAAGACACGACGCTTCGCTCTCAATAGCCCTTTCTCGTCATGGAAATCCGCAAATATTTCACATCAAAGACCAATTACCAGTTCCGATTCCCTTTATATCCCGTACTGAACGCATTTTCCTATTTTATTTTCCCTATTTCCTCGCATCATCGTCGAGTCTTGCATAACATTCGACAACAATTCTTTTATTTTCTAAAATCTTCGAATCTCGCTCTTACCTAAATTAACTTAAATTCTGCTCAACAGGAAATAGTGATGATTCTTTATTCGATACAACCCCCAACTCGATATTTTTGCAGCAATTTTAAAAACCGAGAATCGGTTTAAAAGTTAAAAAAGAAAGAGAGACTGTACGAGGGAAGTGTCGTTTTATCAGTTAATTATATACGTAATTACCGGCCAAATTCACGTGGAGTGGAGGAAAAAAAACAAGGTTAGAAACGGAATTATAAAGTTGGCCGGCCGCGCTCGTACTCGCTTTTTCCGCTCTACAACTTGGCTCGCATAACGGACAGGAAACTGCGAGGAGCGTGCACGTCCGGAAGCATTGATGCGCTCAATGCCCCTCTTCCGGCGGCACTGTGTGTCGTCGACATCGCGGCCGCGCGGAGACGGATCGGCACCGGCAACGACGTCTGGCGTCGCTGCTCCCACCTGTTTTTCTTCCCGCCGGCTAGATGGCGGCAGTTGTCGGTCGACCGTAACTTTCCACATCCTCTCGTTTACATTTATTTTAACGCCGCTTGGAAACCCCGTCGACGGATTTATCGGATCGTATATCGTCGGATTTTTATCGGGCGATTCTTCAAAATTCGTTCTTCGACTTCAAATTAATTCGTTCATCGAGGACACGGGTATGATATGGGTATAATCCACTTTTCATGGATTTCGCGTTATTATTTTAATCGTTCGTAAGATTGGGGATTATTGCGTTCGAAATTTACGAGGAGAGAACTCGACGAGTTTTCAAATGGAGAGGGTTTGGCGCCTTTTTTCCTTCGGGAGGAAAAATCGAATATTCTTCGCATTTACATCGAATCATTTAATCATTTCGATATATTCTCCCGAAATTCGATCCTCGAATAAATATATTACGATCGGTCGCCTTTTTAATTCTCACTTTCTCTCTAAAATTCTCCAAAGAGGAAGAAGAGAAGAAAAAAAAAAAAAAAAAAGAAACTCATTCGGCGGACGGATATTCGCACAAAGTTGCGGCCTAAAGAAAGAAAGAAAGAATACAAACCATCGGTTTATTATTCGTTTATCGCCGGGGGTCGTTCGAGCGCGACATAAAGCGGTCGCTTTTACCCGAATGAGCGTGCCTCTAATAAAAAAAAAATGGCAAAGTGGATTAAAAGTGAAAAAGTTGTGAAAAAAAAAGGAAAGAGGAGGGGACAGAGAAACAAAAGCAAAAAAGGGGAGAGGGCAGAAAAATCGTTTACGATACTTAAAAATCTCGAGTGGACGGAAAGTTAGGGGTTCATCGACGTAATGCAACCCCGCCCTCCCTCCCTCCCATCAAACGCCCCTCGACTTGATAAATTTCATTTCGCTCGCAGAGTTTCGGGCATACCGACGAGCGTGTATATAAACCCCGGGCAGAGTATTTCATTTCGGCCGATTACTTTAATTTAATGCCCTCCTCCTCCTCCTCCTCCTCGACAACGAATGAAAATTCGTTGGAACCGTGAATTTGTACGCGTCTCGTTGTAACACGTGTAATTATATTAATCGTTCCGCGTCGACCATTCAAACTTTCCAACTTTTGTGAATTTTTGGAATTCGAACCATGAATTTCGGGGAAGAGAGAGTCAAGTTTTTTGGAATTTCACTAAAATTCGGAAATAAATAGTAGTATCCCGAAGTGTTTATCCCGTTAATTTTCGGATCGATGGGGGAATTAATATAGGAAGATTTAATCGAAGTTGGAAAACTTTTGATTTATACGCGCGTTTGTGCTCGATACGTTTTATTTCACGAAAGAAACCTCGCACGGGGGAAAGTAATTTAGATTACCTTTTTCCCCCCTCCCCCCATAATTGAATCGAATCACCATAAAAATACGATATAAAATAAAATAATCGTGTCGTCTTTGTTGGAAATTTCAGAAATTTTCTTTCGCGAGAAATTAAGAAAAAAAGTAAAGATCAATCCATCTACGTGTCCCAACAAAATTTGTCACAGACAATGAGGCAAATTTAAGAGAATTTGTTTTTAGAAACACGCAACGCGTCGTGAGAGGAACACGTAGTTACGTGGCCATTTTAAACACGCGAAACTTCGCATCCGCGTAAATATATAAGCAAACAAAACGAGAGAGCGGATATCCCCCGGTTGATTCGCTCTTACTTCTCATCGACGAGCCCATACCGGGAAAAATGCACACACAGGCAAGCATTAATTACGCGACATACTCCATTAATTAATATGGCTGTGTCCGTTTCCTGTCCGCTTCCTCCCCCCTCTTTTCTCTCCTCCATCGCAGACAAAGACCGAACAACAGAGTTTTGCTCTCTTTCTCTTTTCTTTTTTTTTTTTCCATCGATATTTCTCTTTCGAGAGAAAAATACTATATGTTTATATGCGTATATGCGTTTAATTAACGATAAAAAGCAAAATAACCGTCGCCATTTATTTCCCTCTCCTCTCTCATCATTCTCCTTGCGCCACGCGGGTTTAATGGGATGCGTATGAAATCGTCTGTTCGTAATTCGATGCAACGTTAATTCCATTGCTTCGCATTTGTCAACGATATATTGTCGATAATTGTCCGTGGTGTTATCGTATTTCATCTACGGGGGACACGAATTAGGGATGGGATCGGTGTTCAATATGTTAATTTACGGATACGTGTTTCGCCCCATATTACTCAGAAATAAACAATAATATTACGGTTAATTGTATTACGTGACGCGCAAATTTTTATTTAGAGAAAGACTTTTTTCTTTTTTTTCGCCCGTGAGATAATATTTAATGTTCGATCCTCATTTTCTTCGAGAAAATGAATATTTAAAATTTTGTCCAAGTTTCGCGATTTGTTGGTGGCCGAATCGATTTCCTTATTTTTCGAGCTCGAACGAAATGCACACACGGTGTGCAGAAGGCGCACGATTAGATTAATTCTGGTCACGAACACGAGTATCTGTTCTAGCGGCGAATTTGTGCTAGACGAATCTTCCCTCCGCCGTGTCCCATTTCCGGTTCCGTGCAAATATTTTAACAAAGGATTTAGTTTCCGGATAAGTACGCCACCCATCACGCTCTCGCTCCTTTTATTTCACGTGCGCCGCCTGCATTCAATTTGTCGCCCGCCAATCTCTTGCATTTCTCACGCTTGTGCGATAATTTTATGTAGAGATGCGACGAATGAAAAGGTTCGCACAGTTTCTTACTCCGGCGTGCGTTTTTGTTAAAGGTTCACGTGTTGTTGTTCCATCTCCATTTGCAAATGAAATTTCCTCGAGACTATTTAATCCTTTGTATTATTCACAGGGATGTTTAAAACCCACTTTCTTTGAACCTAATAAATAGACCGCGGATTTTTGTATAATTAAAACATGTATTAAAGGAATACATCTTCAAATGTATTCGCATAATCGTGGATAAAATTTCGACTTTTCATATCAGGAAACCGTTGAATCATCTCTATCGTCGCTGCGTAAAATAATGAAATGAAATTTATTCTTTCTTTTTTTTTTTAAAAAAAAAAGTGAGAAGAGATTAAAAATTTCGTCATCAAAATCCAGTCAGAAGAATAGAGGGAGCTATGCCGTTTAAATTGCTTTTTGTTTTATCCCGATATCTCGATCCGTTCCCGAGATATAACGATTCAAAGTATCCGTAGTGTTGATGCATTACAGATATCGCGAATAGGCCCGCGGCCTACTGACCTAGATATTTTTCCACGAAATGTTTACTGTTTCTAGGAATCGTGTTTATCGCTTGTCCGGCAGTTTGGGATAGGTCAGCGAGGCGAGGCGCGAGCGAGAGATCCGAATATGCGACAAGGATCGAGATGGTAAACGTTTAAAAATTACGCTCTTCTTTACACGACGATATCACGAGAACCGGAAGTCGTATCGAGACGAAACAAAAACCGTTTTAAAGGGGAAGGTTGAGCGCTTCTAACGAGCGTTCACACGTTGCCCGGAAGTCGGTATCCCCGGAGTTACAGCGGTTCAAAGTTTTTCAAATTTTAATAAAGTTCAATCCGGTTTAAGGTAAATGAAAATAAAAATTACTTTTTGTTTGCACGATGATATCTCGGGAACCGGAAGTCGTGTCGAGATGAAACAAAAACCATTTTAAAGGGGGAAATTCCGCGCTTCTGATGATCGTTCGTGCATTGGCCGGAAGTCGTTATTTTCGAAGTTATAACGGTTCAAAGTTTCTCTAGTTTTAATACGTTTTTTAGCAGTTTTTTCTTTTTCTTATTATAAAATGTATCGTATAATATATTTTTGATTGCTTCGTTTATTCTGAAAAACACAAAAGTCAAAATTATATCGATAGCCAGGCATATACATTCTCGGAAGATAACTGTAAAACTGGGGAAAAAATCCGGCACACGATGTAATCTTGCCGATCGCTGCCGAATACAATTATTTTTTTCCTTTCGACGCAGAGACTGTTCCGAGCAACAATTCGCGGAGAAAAAAGTAGTCACTGATTTACGAGCACGAAACTCGCCTTGGATCTGGCCATAAATTATTTCGGGATACGAACCGAAAAACGATTTCGAACGCCATTTTCGTGCGGCCGATGACTCGACGAAGACTCTAATTAGCTTTTCGGATGGATCGTCGGCGTTCTTCAATCAATCCCAGTGACACAGGTAATCGATAACACCCGATAAGTCCCGCGTACGCGACGAATTAATCGTTTAGTCGACGCGACACGAGGAAAGGAAGATGATGGAACGTCCACGTCCTCATCTGTCACTCACTTCTATTCCTCGTTTCGCTCGATAATCCCCCTGTTTTTGCCCAATTCTTTCTCGTAGCAGAAAGGAAGTTAAATCGATAGTTTTCGAAGGGAAATTGTGTAAATAATCTCGAGGAATATTTTCTATCGGTGTGAATTAAAAATGAATCGTATCTTTTCAATCTTTAATATTCGATTAATTAAAATATTCGTGATATTTTTTGTTTTTAATCGAACGTTATATCTCTCGTTTATTTTAAATTTTAAGATAAATCGGTGGACCACGACGCGAGAGTAGAGTGATCGATATCGCATAAAGTTACGGGGGATTGGACATTTTCGGTGGTCAGTCGCTCAACAATTGTCAATTGATCTTGGCTGTCGGTGACAAGACAAATTATCAGGGGCAATCGTTTTGACGAAAAATCGGTGGGAAGAAATTCCGGGCTATGTTTTTGCGAGGTAAGATGGATGTTTCGTGATCTCTCGATATCCTTATAAATATGGCGCCGCTTTTTTCGAAACGAAAAATCGAAAATCCTCCGCGTAGAAATAATTTTTATACACGATCCACCGAATTAAGATTTATTTATAAAATATACACGAAGTGCATCAAAGTATTTATAAAGAAAGAAAAAAAATATGGATATACATTCAGACATAGAATATTGGCGAAATGGACGTTGAATATTTTGTTTCGGATAATTTATTTATGACGAGTAATCGATTACGTTACAATTTTATTACACGAGCAATTTCTCCATATACTCGTAGAATTTAATTTGTCGACGTTCGCCAATTAATATTAATAATCGAGGAAAGGAACACAACGAGATACATTTTTTACGTAATATATTTCACGATTGTTCACAATTAATTAATTCGACACAAATCGTTTCTTTCCTGTCGCAAAGAGAAATGATATACAATTCTTCTTCACAGAATTCTTAGATCAATCGGATGATGGTCGATGCTAATATTAGAAATGCGACTTGGAAACGTGCCCGTGGCTCATAAAACGTTTATTTATTTACCATTGATCCACAGTCAAATATCGACAATGGTTTATTTTCCCAGAGCAGCAAACCTTCCTTCTAATTGATTATCCCCTATTATTGTTGGGGGATTGGAAGCGATGCGGTCGTCGCAGCTTCGTAACTCGAAGCTTCCTCGTAATTAAGCATCTCGCGAGCGAGTCCATTGAATGGATCGTCTTCCGCTTCGGTTTACGGTTCACAGCGGCGTGGGGATCGCTCGCCTTATCATCATCCATTCGTCAATCGCTCCGTGTGATTAACATTTGAATAGGGGCGCATCATCGAGTATCTCCTCGTTTTTCCTCCAAGAAGAATACCAATTTCTTCTCCTTTCCATCGTGCAATTATTACTTATTATCCCCAATAATACATGAATTGATCTTGATTTTAACGGAAATGCAAATAATCGTGTAACT